CATACATTAATAAGCTCCCGGGGGTGGCAGCGGCAGATTTCAGGGGCAGTTTCTTTCATCAGGAGGCTTTTGACAAAATGGAAGGTGAATTATGGGTGTCCGGGTGACCCCGCACGGGGGCCGAGTTGGGCTGCCAGCTGCGAGCCGGGGCTCCCCGCGCCGGGTCCCGCCCCACCCGGGCTGCTGCTGCGGGGGCCCTAGTGCAACCCAGACTGCGGGCGCTGCCAAGGGGAGCTCTTTAGTTTTACATGATGACCTTGGGTGTGGGAAAAGGAAAAGATGGCGGGAAGCTGGGGGGTGGGACAGGGACGATGACACGCCACAGCTGCATTTTTATTTGGAAAGTTTCTCGGAAGTATTCCTGGCTGGACCTGCATTCTGCATTATAGATGAGCAAGACTGCCCGTTTTGGTCTCCTCTCCCCCTTTAGACAGTGGCAGATTTGAGCCAGTAGTACCGGGGATACCTGTTTTCTTTCCCGATCACCCTTGGTGTAAAAGCCATTTTTATAAGCCAGACGCGTCAATGGTAGTGACATCTCAAATGTTCCCCGTTAACGGTGATCCTGCCTTGATCTCCTGTATAGCAGCGACGGTGACAGTATTTTTTGGTAACGAGGGAGTTTAGCTTCTGTCCCCTACCCCCTCCAAACGTGTCCTCCCCGTGCCCTTCCTACTTCGTGGTTGTGGTTTTCGAACGTAGTAGTTCTGTAGCGCCCAGCACCTGGCTCGCTCGGGTCTGCTACATTTGGAGAACTTGATCGTCCTCGAAGTAACTGGCAAACCAGCGCGCGTCTTGCTGGTCAAAAGTTAAATGACAAGCCACAGTGAGGCTGATTTTCTCCCCACTCTGCCTCTGCTGCCTGTCATGTTGGGTGGGGGAGGGGCTTCCTAACAGCAAAGTTAATTTTTCTTTCGCTCAGCCTTTGGTGTATCTTGGTTCTCTTCTTCCTCATCACTATTCCTCACTGTATTTTTTCTTTGTCTCTTTTCCTTCCATCCATCACAGTCAGGATGGCTAAAGGTGACCCCAAGAAACCAAAGGGCAAGATGTCTGCTTATGCCTTCTTTGTGCAGACCTGCAGAGAAGAACATAAGAAGAAAAACCCGGAGGTCCCTGTCAATTTCGCTGAATTTTCTAAGAAGTGCTCCGAGAGGTGGAAGGTATTTTTCTGTAGTAGCCTTCAAGCTAGTCCTAGATGGCTTTTCCACTTTGGAGTTAGTCGCGTTCAAAGTCAACCAGATGGCTGTTTTCTTTCTCTTGGACTCTTCTTGCTTGTCTGTGGAATTTTGTGGGTGTGCTTTTGTTTTTGAAGGCTCTGCAAGGGTTTAGGGCTTTCATTCTCTTTTGTAGCTGTTTGTAGCAGCTTCCTCTCTCATTTACAGAAAAACTCCAGGGCAGTTGAGTAGATAGATATGTATGTGTTCACCACCTGGAGGAATTTAACAGGTCCTGTTGTTTGCAGACAATGTCTGGGAAGGAGAAGTCGAAATTTGATGAAATGGCAAAGGCGGATAAAGTACGCTATGATCGGGAAATGAAGGATTATGGACCGGCCAAGGGAGGCAAGAAGAAAAAGGACCCTAATGCCCCCAAAAGACCACCGTAAGTGACTAGGATTTGAGATAGCACTTGCAAGCTTTCCTTCTGCTTGAAAGATATTTTTTAGAGCTAGTTTACCTAAAGGGATCGATACTGTTGCAAAATAGTCCCAGTTGGAGCTTCAAAATACAATGCCAGCTTTGTCCATAGTGCGGGCCAAAGTGTTTGTGGGCCCAGTGTGTATGCACGTGTGCACCTGCAAGCACAAAGGCTGTGTGTTGGCCTTTCCACTGGGGAAGAGGCCCCCTAGTTCTGGGTGTCAAAGTCGTTACTAGTAACAGAGAGGCTGAGAAAGCACCCTATAGTTTAGAAGCATCTTAAACATTCTAGAATCTAAGTTTGTAGCATTGCACATAGTCTCACATTTCTTCACTTTAGGGGGAGAAGTCATTTTGGGAGGAAATTTATGGACCCAGGAACACTGGATTTTGACCTTAACTCATTCTTTCATGGGTCCTCATTTAATTCATGTAATTATTCCCCTCAAGGTCTGGATTCTTCCTGTTCTGTTCAGAATTTCGCCCGAAGATCAAATCCACCAACCCTGGCATCTCTATCGGAGACGTGGCAAAGAAGCTGGGTGAGATGTGGAACAACTTAAGTGACAGCGAGAAGCAGCCTTACATCACCAAGGCTGCAAAGCTGAAGGAGAAGTAGGAGAAGGTAAGGCAGGTGGGCTGGGCCAGCTGCCTGGCCTGGGCGGCGAGCAGTCTGTGTACCTGGACTCGATCAGTGGGCTGCCAAGTGGGTAGCCACTTTGCTGGACTGAGTTCCCAGCACAGCTCGCGAGGGCCCATCTCCCTGTATGATCTGTCATGTAGGCTGATGTTCATGCTGGTGACAGATCTGTGTTGGAGAGGACTTCCAATAAGCTTCAAAACATTTTGCTCACTCTTAAATAAATGGCAGGTCCAGCAAGCAAATGGTGTGGTGGTTAAGGCACTGGACTCCCACATGGTCAACCGTGGTTCAAGTCCCAGACCTGGTGGCTTGTGACTCAACACCTGGCTCATGTGTGTACATGTCCAAAATCCCCAAAGGAGAAAGGATTGAGGAGTGGCTATCCCACTGGGAGGTGATTTCTCACTTTCTCTCTCTCTCTCTCCCTCTCTCCCTCTGCCAGCGTAAGCACTCTGTGGCAGAAGCCTAAAAAAAAAAAAAGTAGAAGAAAAACAAACGGAGGGGAGGGGATTGCAGAAGGCCATCTTCCCTTGGGTGGTTTTTCACTCCCCTTTCTCCCCTTACCACACCCCCACCCTCAGCTAGCACATGCCCTATAGCAAAAGCTGAAGGGAAAAAAGAGAAAAGCACATTGATATTGGAGGGTCTGATAGCTGCTATTTACATTAACTTTTCAGTTTGAATGGCCAATAATTCCGATTGTGAAGGTGAATAGAATAACTTGCATATAGTCCGCAGGTGGTTACTGTCCCACCTTCTTATCTGGGCCTAGGAGCGCTGTCTCCCGTAAGCTGAGACAGCGCAGGGGAGCTGAGCTGTTCCTCACTCGGAACATGTCCCTGTTTCTTCCAGGATGTTGCCGACTATAAGTCTAAAGGCAAGTTTGATGGCGCAAAGGGTCCTGCCAAAGTTGCCCGGAAAAAGGTGGAAGAGGAAGATGAAGAAGACGAGGAGGAGGAAGAGGAGGAGGAGGAGGAGGAGGATGAATAAAAACAAACTGTTGCTCTGTCTCCTTGTGAATCCCTTAGTGTAGGGGAGCGCCGTAATCGCACCTCATTGGAGGCGTGTCTATTGCCCTCATTAGGTTTAATTGCAGAATTCGATCACGATCATGTTGTCTCTCAAAGTGCTCTAGAAATTGTCAGTGGTTTACATGAAGTGGCCATGGGTGTCCGGAGCACCCTGAAACTGTATCAAAGTTGTACATATTTCCAAACATTTTTAAAATGAAAAGGCACTCTCGTGTTCTCCTCACTCTGTGCACTTTGCTGTTGGTGTGACAAGGCATTTAAAGATGTTCCTGACATTTTTGTTTCCCTGAATTCGTAAGGTGGTGTTAGGAGGGGCGCCCGTCGGAGGGGCCGTGGCTCAGGGCGTGCACTGGGAAGCTGGACCCGTTGACTCTGCGGTGGCCTCCGTGTAGGCGTCAGGGTGTCTTGTACATAGTGACCTAGCGTCCTGCCATTCTTAGCTGTGGAGAAGGGGAGTCGGCTGGCATGAGGAGGGATTGGATTTTTGTTTCCTTAGTTAAGTGCTGTAGTTTTAAAACTTTGTTTTAAATAAACTGTAGAACTCTTCATTGTCAGCAAAGCCAAGAGCCACTGCATCAATGAAGCTCAAGAACCTCTGTACTTAAAACACAATTTGCAACGTTCTGTTATTTTTTGTATGTTTAGAATGCTGAAATGTTTTTGAAGTTAAATAAACAGTATTACATTTCTAAAACTGTCCTCTATTACAGCAGTCTAAATGTCTGACTCAGCAAGCAGTCTTAGTGGGGAAATGACCCGCCTCGATCTGAGTCTGCTAACTTCTGTTGAGTTGGCCAGCTGAGGTAGGCCTGAGATGGAGGGCTGCGGTGCTACTGTGTGATTCTGAGTGGCGTTGGGATGAAGCAGAAACTAAGCTAAGATGATGCGCAAGGAGTGCAGGGAGGTGGGTAAGGTGGGTGCTGAGGATGGAGGCTACTGTCTTAAGTGTGCCTCCTGTTTTGTGGGGCCAAATAAATGCATTGCTAAGAAAAAAAGAAACACACAAGGCTTCCTGAGTACTTGTTACGCCAAACATTCAGGCCGCATTCTTCCTTACTCTACCCCACCCTTCCCTGCACACATGGCTGAGTGATACTTGTTGGGTTCAACAGCTGATCTGGAGTTTGTGCTTCTGTCTCCTGGACCCCTGTGAAGTGTGCAGGACAAGGTGGGGGTTAATTGCCATTTCTTGCTCCTACTTTATTTCTCTCCAAAGAACCCAACAACCCAAGGAAGATTGTGGAGTCCATTTGTTCACCTGGGCTTTAGGGCAGGTAGATGGAATCAGCCCTTCCTAAAGCACTACCCAGATGGTTTAAAGGAGCCTGGCCTCCCCACAGTCTGACTCGTCCTGGAGATGTAGATTGCTCAGTGTTCAACTGGCAGGAGCCTGGAGTTTCAGTGCTTGTACTGGTGGATGGTACAGCCTGGTCAGGTTGGGCCGAGGCTGAGGACACAGTACTGTTTAGAAGGCTGATGCGTATGCACAGTGTAACTACAGGAACCGAGGGTACTGAGTGGTGGGCAAGTGTTGATAGTTCCTGGCATTAATACTCAAGTTGTGTGCATCTGAGACTGTAAAGCATGCATTTTGTGGTATTTGATTACCCTAGATGGGTAAAAGTCACAGTCACTGTCACAGCCTGGTCTGTGCAGTCATAGGCGTTCCCTCTCACATCAGAACTGTTGATCCTAGCGTGTTTCTCTAGTTCCCTTGATCATGAATTTTGCCTAGAGGCACTTGTTCCAGGATCGCCCCTCCTGCTTCAGCCGTGGCCCCAGCACTCCTGCAGCCTGGACTGAAGCTGCTGCTTCCTCCCAGGCCACATCTGGGCACTGTGGTCAGTCCCTGCAAATGGAAGAGAAGCTTTGCCTGCAGTCACAAGGGAGGAGTTCTGGTTAGTGGTCACACCGACCACAGAAGGGTAGAGATTGGGAGGGGATGGCTTTCTTTGTCAGTCATGAAACAAGTGGGGAAGTTGTTTAGCTAAGTGGTCTTTGATAAGCAGACATTTAGTTCTGAAGAGACTCTCCAGTTCAGGCCACTTGGCCCGCAGCAGCAGTAGCAGCCGCCCTGAAGGTTTCACAGGTCACAAGATGATCAGCACTTCTCTGATGCTGGGAGTGGCACATGCTATAAGAAAGGCTCAGGCTTACCTTGCTTTCTGGGCCCCTAGTAGGTGTTCTCGGAATGCCTACCATTCTTATTTGTTTTTTTTTTTTTGGTTTTCATTCATGTTTTTTTTTTTAATCTGAAGGACAGTACCCACTTCCTCCAACCACCTCTGTCTTCCAACCCCCTTGGCCCGTTCCTGAAGGACGTCTTTTCCTTTGCAAAGAACCAGGCTGTGATGTAGCAACTATTGTCTGTGTCTCCTGTATGTCTGTTCTTGTCACAAATGTATCTGGGCACACTGAATGCATTCATTTTCTGCAATAAAGTTTCTTAATCAATATTCCCCCAAAAGTAATCAGTGGGCTGTCTGCAATCTGTTTGAGATATTGAACCTCTGTATTTTGGGCTGATTATAATCAAGGTTTTAGAAGTATAGGTTTCCCAATAACCATGGATCTGAACTGCTAACACTGAAAGGATGATACCATCAAAATGGGCAAGTGTTAAGGACTCCAAAGCCCCTAGACCAACCCTTTAGACAGAAGGGATGTGGCCTCGGAGCCCCTGGGCCAGGATACATATTTCATTTACTTGATGCTAATGGGCTGCTGTTTGCTGAAGTGCCTGGGTAACTCGTAATCAGCCAGCACTGCCAGCCAGGGCTCCTGAAGGCTGAAGGGCTGAGGGTCGGCCTTAGCTGCCTGACAGAGCCAGGCCCCTAGGGAGTGCTGGGTGAGAGCCATGCAAGTGGGGTGCCTGCTGTCATCTGCCAGCTTAGTTTGCTATGGAGCCCAGGGCTGCCTAGGAGGGATGGGCAAAGAGCCAGGTGGGCAGATCAGGCTACCCATCCTGCTCAAATAGCAGTCCCTCATCCTGCTTCCCTGTTGGATGTTCTAAGAGCCCAGCTTTTCAAAGCTGGGACACCATATCCAAAGGGAGAAAAAACACACGTGACTGGCTCAGTACACGAATACAAAGTGTTTGATAAAATCCAACACTTTATGGCCAGCTGGTGGCATGGCGGTTAAGGCACTAGATCCCATATGGCCAACTGTGTGGTTCAAGTCCTGACCTTGGTGGCTTGGGAAGCATGCTAGGTATGTGTGCATTTTCAAAATACAGACAGGAGGGAGAAAGGGAGAACTGATTGCAGTATGGCCACCCGCATGGGGTACTTTCTCACTTTCCCTCTCTGGAAAGTACATGCACCCTCTGGTAGGCTTAAAAAAAAGTTAGGGCCTGGCAGGTGACATGGTGGTTAGGGGTGCTGGACTCCCACATGGCCCACTGCAGTTCGGGTCCCAGACCTGGAGGCTTGGTTTCTCACTTTCTCTCTCTCTTTCTCTGTTCCTCTGTGGTCAAAATAAAAAATAAATAAAGTTAAATAAAATAATCATTTAAAAAAAATTAACACTTTCATGACAGAAACCCTCAGGTAACTAGAAGTGCTATCTTGCTCTCACTCATGGAAGAAATACTGGGTTGTCAGAAAAGTCATGACACGTTTTTCTATGACTTCAGATGACCCAATAAATAGACTTTTAAAAGTACAGAAGGGAGATTATTCAGTAAACGGACCCAGGTCCCCTTGACAGATAGAGGAAATGGGCCCAGCGCACATGTCAAAGAAATGACCATTTACAGAAGGCAGGATGCTAGAGTTGGTGGTGGGCATGTCCCTCTGGTAGTTTTCTATATTTTATTTTGCTATAGGGTGTGTGTACTTACCAGAGAGAGGGGGAAAGTGAGAAATCAGCCCCCGGGGAGGACGGCCATGCTGCAATCCCTTCTCCATTCTCCTCAGGATTCTGGGCATGCGTGCACATATGCTCAGCATGTTTTTCAAGGTGCTGGGTCCAGGACTAAAATCACAGCCATGTGGAATCTGGCTGCCTTAACCTCCGTATGACCTGCTGGCCCGGCCCACCATCTGGCAGTTTTCATCCTTGAGAGGTTTATGCTGAAGGGAGCAGAGAAAAGGGGCAGATTTGAAAGGTGCCAGCTAGGAAAGCATCATGAA